CTGCTAACATATTTTGTCACCTTGATGTGTTGCTGTTTGTTAATAAAATTTGCACTTATGCCCTGGCTTTTTTGGCTCAGTGGATAGAGCATCAGCCCATGGACTGAAGGGTTGCTGGTTCGATTCTGGTCAGGGGCAGGTACCTCGGTTGCAGGCTCAATCCTGGGCCTAGATCAGGGTGTGTGCGGGATGCAATCAGTTGATGTGTCTCTCTCATATCAATGTTTCTCTCTCTGTGTCTTTCTTCCTCCCTTTCACTTTCTCTAAAAATCAATGGAAAAATATTCTCAGGTGAGGTGAGGATTAAGAAAAATAACAACAAAAAAGAAATTTGCACTTTTCACTGTTATTAATGTGTTACCTTTTATCCCCAGTTCACACAAATGAATGAATGGTTCAAAAGTGTTCAGTAAGACATAAATGTATAATGAAAATAGCAACAAAAATACTAGAACTGAATATTTTAAATATAAACAATGAACCTCATTCTAGTCCAAGAATGTGAATATATAAGGGAAATGATTTCACACAAGTGAAGGAAATCCAATCAACTGCCAAGGGATATCTAAGATTTTTATTATATTAGACAATTAGTCCATATTTAAGTGTGTTTCTGTCATAAGCCCTCATCAAAAAGCAGCTTGAAGCAGCCAAAGCTTTCACATCATTTTCAAACTGAATTTCAAAAACTGCATAGTAGCCTCCCTATCAAACTTCCTAAGTTTTTCCAAAACAAATATAAAATAATCTTTTCCCATATGAAATTGGCTTATTTTCTCACTAAGGTAAGAAAATAGACCAAAATTACAGAAGCATTACTCCAAGTTGAATTCCTCATATAAAACAAATAAAGATTACTCTACAAAAGACTCATAAAACCAGCTACCAGGTTAATAACAAATAAAATGGTGGGCATTGCACATCAATGGTATGCAATGTGGAAGAATAATTACAATCATATGTGCAGTAGCATGTGGTTTGTTTTACAGTAAGTGAAATCAATGATGCACAGAGTTGGCATATCAGTTAGCCTAGGAATGAAACACATCAGAGGGAAAAGTACTTAAAAACTCTGTTCTATCACCAAAAATCCAATCTAAAGACAAGGTTTTTCTTTTTTTAAATATATTTTATTGATTTTTTACAGAGAGGAAGGGAGAAGGATAGAGAGTTAGAAACATCAATGAGAGAGAAACATCGATCAGCTGCCTCCTGCACAACCCCTACCAGGGATGTGCCCGCAACCAAGGTACATGCCCTTGACTGGAATCAAACCTGGGACCCCTCAGTCCGCAGGCCAACGCTCCATCCACTGAGCCAAACCAGTCAGGGCAAGGTTTTTCTTTAATTAACTTTCTTTTTGGAAGCTATTATGAAAATTAGAAAAGGTGCATTAGGATCTGTACTGATATGGTCACAGTGAGTAAAAGAAAATCTGCCTTTATGCCAAAACACACACTGCTTTATTCACTACAATGGATGACACAATATACCTCCTAATTTTAATCCAGTGCTGCAAAAAAATAGTTTAAAATATGACAGAATCAAATCACTGCAGCTAAGTATTTGTTTTCTCAACATGCTCTTCAAAGAAATGGGCAGAGAGCCTTGGATGGATTGTTCCCCTGAGAAACAGTCTGACTGCCAAGATGTTCCTGCAAAGTACTGAAATGAGGGATGAGACTAAAGCATTCCTGTTCCGCACAGACAATGCCAGGAAGGAGCAGCGCCATGGTTTCAAGTGGCATATGTCAGCAATGTAATTATCCTGATTTTCTTGATCCTCTCATTCAGGATCAAAACATGTTTCTGTTGCATACTGAGAAAAAGCTATAGAAAATCTTTGTGAAGACTAAATGGCAAGTTTGAGGGAGCTGTGGTTGTAAAATTGTGGGCATAGCATCTGATGCAACACTGACCATCTCTTCAGGTGAGAAATCACACCATTATTTCTGGACATAAGTTCAATCTAAATTTAAATTCTCCAGGAACTTCCCAAACTGACAGACTAATCACACATTTGCTGCCACTCGTAATGGACTAATTATAAAGAAGTACTTTCTATTTTAGTAAAATAAGGAGAAAGGAAAAAAGCAGTCATGCCCTTAGGGCTCATCCCCCTTAAGGCAAGGGAGTCACACTAATGCTGGCTCCTGACTGCTCTTTTTTCTTTTTTAATCCTCACCCGAGGATATTTTTTCCATTGATTTTTAGAGAGTGAAAGGGAGAGGAAGAGATAGACCAGTGGTTCTCAACCTTCTGGCCCTTTAAATACAGTTCCTCATGTTGTGACCCAACCATAAAATTATTTTCGTTGCTACTTCATAACTGTAATGTTGCTACTGTTATGAATCGTAATGTAAATATCTGATATGCAGGATGGTCTTAGGCGACCCCTGTGAAAGGGTCGGTCGTTCAACCACCAAAGGGGTCACGACCCACAGGTTGAGAACCGCTGAGATAGACAGAAACACCGAGGCACGTGCCCTTGGCCAGAATCGAACCCAGGACCCTTCAGTCCACAGGCCAACACTCTACCCACTGAGTCAAACCAGCTAGGGCCTAACCGCTCTGACTTTTGAAGTAAACCTTATTCCACACTGGGCTGTAGTGTGGATTAATAATCCCTGATTGCTGCTAGGCACTGCTCGAGGTAGAACAATGTTTGGCAAGTTTCTATATCTTGGTGTCCTATAACTTCCAACAAAGCAAGTCTAACAGAGATGGAAATCTCTCTGTATCTAAAATATCCAACTCTATGTAAAGTTGAACTGTCTATTGGCTTAGACTTTAATTACCATGTATAAGGATCATGTATAAGGACCACCTAACAAGCAGTTTCCCAAAGTTGTATTTGACTTTATATAACAGAGATCCAACTACAAGAGCTTAAACTAAGAAAGGTTGTTTGTTTGTTTGTTTGTTTGTTTGTTTTCATGTAACCTGAGGTCTAAAAGAAGATTGGAACAGTTGTTCAAAGTCATCAAGGCAAGGACCCAGACATCTAGCTTCCTACTCTGCCAATCTGAGCATGTGGCTTGTGTCCTCATAATTTTAAGATGGTCATTCCATCCCTAGGCATGCACTAATTTACTAGGCGGAAAGGGCCAGGGCCCAGGGCAAAGGCAAGCCACAGCTTTGTCTGTCCCTTTTCACTGGAAAAAATTGCATTCCCAGAGCTCCACCCAGGAAACTTCCACTTACAACTCACTGGTGAGACCTAGGTTAACATGGATACCATTAGTTGCAAGGGATTTCCATTGATTTTTAGAGAGTGAAAGGGAGAGGGAGAGATAGAGTCTCTAAGGTGTTTTTATCTGGCATACTGTTGCCCTAGACAAAATAAGGGTCCTTTAAATAAGGAATAATAAGGGGATGTATACTAAGTAGGGAACAAGCAGTAGCTGCTACATGATCAAGGACATTTTAGTTTTTACTCAAACTTCAAACTACCGACTAACTACAGGGTTTTTCTTCCCCCTAACAAATAGTTCTAAGTTCCTGATTCTTCCCTATCAAACCTACTCTTCCTGACTAACCTGTTACCGGCTTCCCCAAAGGATTGACCAGTCTAGGAAACATCACTTTAGTAACAACTACACAGAGCATTTGAAAAGAAGACATAGAGTCACCGCATCCTCTGAGGGAATTAACAAACCCTCTAGCACTTGCTCTGTTTGTTGAATGCTTTCCTGCTAATTGCACAGTAAAAATGTGTGTGTGTTCTTTTATAAACTAGGATGGTCTCCAAAGCAAATCAGGTAAAGGGGGTAAGGAGGAACAGAGAAATCAAAATAAAACTAAACCCATCCCCCACTGCCTTGCTCCTTGGCAGCTGCTCCAGCCCATTAACTAAATCACTTGTAAGTCTCCAAAGTAATTTAGAGACAAGTCTTCCAATTCATTAACTGTGGCACAATTATCACAGGACTTGATAATTACACCACACCTGTCCTCACAGGCACTGAGGGCAGTCCCCTGGCCTAGCTTATTTCAGCCAAGGACTGCCCCTCTCATCTAAAAGGTAAGCGCTCAGTGAGGTAGAACAAGACACAGAGGAAAGACACAATTTCTCCAAATCTCAGGCTGAACAGACAATTCAAAGCAATAACCCTGCTCTCACAGGGAAACACTACACAATATATCGTTAGAAATGGGAACATTATATTTTATCTGCCAAGAACGGTAAGACTCAGCAGAGAATTTGCAGGGCTACTTCCTTCCTACTGGGAGGCAGCCCAAGGAGAAATGGCAAGACCTGGGGGCTTGTTAGAGCCTGGCCATGCCCAAATAAGTCACTTCACCCCCGACCCCCAATCTTAATTTTCACATCTATAATATGACAGCATTGGACTAAATTATAAATGTCTGTGTTGTTTTCCCCTAACCATGAGCCAGATGGCTAGAAACTTAGATCTAAGTGTGGAGGCTGAATGATTTCTTAAGATTCGGAGTTGAGAAAAGCCACACTTGGCACACAGATACTAGTGACAAGGCATGAGCCAAGGGCACAAAAAGTGTTTACTCAGACTAATCTTTTTGTCAACTATAATGCAAATGTCCAGTTTTCATAACACAACGTTAGCAGAACATTGCAACCACCTTCAGCTGTAATAGCTAACTGACCTGGACCCGTTAACAGCAGCCTGTTACATAACGGTGAACCTTGGGAAGGGGCTTTGTCCTTACTGGCCTACCAGATTGTGTGGTACCTTAATTTAAAGGGGAAAATGAGGCTCCAAACCTTTCCTAGGCTGACCTCCAAGACCAGACAGGCTGCATTTGTTCCAATGGGACCTAGGTTACACCCCAAGGGAACTCTGAGGTTATTTCCTTAAAGTCTGTGAGTCTAAACCAGTGATTCCCAAACTTTATTATTATGCTTATGAATCACCTGGGAAACCTATTAAATATGCAAACTCCTAAGTCCCATTCCAGAGACTCTGGTTCAGTAGGTTTGGGGTACATCATAAGAATGGGTATTTAATTTATTTTCTTAGGAGAGACTGCAAATGCAGTTCCCCACTACTGTAAATTATGCAGTTGAGTGTCCCTCATTTGGGGAAATCACAGGGGTCAGCACATCCAGAGTGCAATGAATAAGCCTCGCTCTGTGAAAACCACCTTGTAATCATGGTATCTCCCCTGCCGGGTAAGTATAGAAATAGGTACTTTAAAGTAATACCAGAAGATGACTGTGATATTGGTAATCCAAAATCCATACTTGGAGACACACTGTCATTCCAAAGCAGCTGTGTGGGCTCCTCATACTAGAAAAGGGCCTGGTTTTTCTTCATTTGGCTCAAAATAACAGTCAAGAATTAAAATTCAAACCAGTATGATGAATAGGTAGGTCCTTGCTCCTCAGGAAGATGGAGAAGACCTAGGCAAGAACGGAGCAATGCACACTCCAGACAAACAGGTGAATGGTCCTCAATCCACCTTTGCTGGAATGATGATGCTGAGTAAGGAAGCAGCATCATTACATACTGTGTGAGAATGAATACTTTATTCAACAGGTAAACAAATAAGAGGGCCAAGGATCTGGAGAGCCCTGTAACCCCATGCAGAACTTATGCAGTGTCCTACAGTTAACTTCAAAAAGAAGTCTGTCTCCTTTTCTTCTGTTTTTGCTTATCTAAAGCTTTTGAGTTTCCTGAGAACTTACCTTTCTAGAGAAAAATCTCACCCCCACAAACACACCAACTATTTATGAGTAAGCCTGGCTCAGTGATTTTAAATAGAAAACATGAGGTTCTTTACCAAGAATCTTAAATTCTCTTCCAAAGGAACATGTATATCATCTTTCTTTCTGAGCTCTACCTCAGGAGCCTCGACCCTTATTAAGGATATAGGCCACAATTCTCTGACAAGATTTCAGTTGCCAGAAGCTTCTCTACTCTGTAAGCTTCTAACTCATTAACTATTTTTAATATTTTTTATTTTAAATTACAGTTTTATTTTAAATTAAATTATGTTGAATAGTTGACATAGTATACATTTCAGGTGGACAATATAATGGTTAGACATTTACGTAACTTACGAAGTGATCTTTGTAATTCTAGTACCCACCTGACACCATACATAGTTATTATAATACTAGAGGCCCAGTGCACAAAAATTTGTGCACTCGGGGGGGGAGGAGGGTGTCCCCTCAGCCCGGCCTATGCCCTCTTGCAGTCTGGGACCCCTCGGAGGATGTCCACCAGCCAGTTTAGGCCCACTCCCTGGGGGATCAGGCCCAAGCTGGCAGTCAGGCATCCCTCTGGCAGCCCGGCAGCCCTTGGGGGATTTCCACTTGCCAGCGAGGAGCAGGCCTAAGCTGCAGTCGGACATCCTTAGCACTGCTGAGGAGGTGGGAGAGGCTCCCACCACCACCACTGTACTGGCAGCCATCAGCCTGGCTTGTGGCTGAGCAGAGCTCCCCCTGTGGGAGTGCACTGACCACCAGGGGGCAGCTCCTGCATTGAGTGTCTGCCCCGTGGTGGTCAGTGTGTGTCATAGTGACAAGTCATCCCCAGTTGTTCTGCTGTTAGGGTCAGTTTGCATATTACCCTATTATTATATAGGATAGAGGCCTAGTGCACGGGTGGAGGCCGGCTGGTTTGCCCTGAAGGTGTCCCAGATCAGGGTGGGGGTCCCGCTGGTGTGCCTGGCCAGCCTGGGTGAGGGGCTGATGGGTGTTTGCAGGCTAGTCACACCCCCTTCAGCGTGGGGGTCCTCACTGGGATGCCTGGCCAACCTGGGTGAGGGGCTGATGGGTGTTTGCAGGCTGGTCACACCCCCTTCAGGGTGGGGGTCCCCACTGGGGTGCCTGGCCAGCCTGGGTGAGGGGCTGATGGCTGTTTTCAGGCTGGTCAAGCCCCCTCCAGTGGGGACCCTCACCCCATGGAGGTTTGGCCAGCCTGGGTGAGGGGCTGATGGCTGTTTGCAGGCTGGCCACACCCCCTTTAGGGTGGGCAGTACCCACTGAAGTGCCTGGCCAGTCTGGGTGAGGAGCTGAGGGCCGTTTTCAGGCTGGCCAAGCCCCCCCGGTGATGGAAGCTCCCAGCCTCTCCTTTTTTTCTTTTTCTTTTTTTTTATTTTGGGATTTATTCACCTTCTATAATTGAAACTTTGTAGCCTTGAGAGGAGCTCAGAGCCAGCCAGGGTGGGCGGGAGGGAAGCTTGGCTTCCTCCATCGTCAGGGGCAACCCACTCCTGCTCGCTCCAGCTCCGTGGCCACGGCAGGCTGAAAGCAGGTATCTGGGGTTTATTTACCTTCTATAATTGAAACTTTGTTGCTTTGAGTGGAGCTCAGAGCTGGCCTCAGCAGCTGGGAAGCTTGGCTTCCTCCATCACTGGGGCAACCAAGCCTCCTACTCGCTCCAGCTCCATGGCTGCCGACCGCCATCTTGATTGGGTTAATTTGCATATAGTTGCTCTGATTGGCTGGTGGGCATGGCTTAAGGCGTAGCAAAGGTATGGTTAATTTGCATGTTTGTCTTTAATTAGTGTAGATTATTGAGTATAGTCCCTTGCTGTACTTTACATATCCATGACTGTTTTTACAACTGCAAACTGGAACTCCAACTAAGAGCCTTACCTTCTCTGGTTTTTAAGCCCCACCTGTGGCAACACAGTGCCAATGCTCCTGACTTTGCAAGGTTCAGGGTCCCTGCAACTCCAAGACGGAGGGCTCTATAAAGAGATTGCACTGAAAATTGAAGGGGCTCCTCTGGGAAGGCATTTTCCATTTACATAAAGTTCCAGTTAATGAGAGTTAATTGAGCAAAGACAAGAATTATACAACAGGAGTGAATGGGACACTAAGGAGATGAGCTTCAGTCTCAGCCCACTGAGAGAATGTGGAGAGACTGAGCAAAGAGCTCTTTTGAACTGCAAAGTATGGAATCATATACTCTGATTCTGACTATAAGTTGTACTATTTATTTTATTTTCAAACACATTTAGAGCATTTACTTTGTGTCAGGCACCAGTTAATTTGCTTAGCAAATATTTGTTCATTTTAGCTACAAACACCACACACAGACATGTTCACTACCACTCAAAGGAAACTCCTGACTCTTGCCCTTTACTTCATGAAAAACCAGAAACATAAATCCGCTCCCACCTACTTAATGGCTCCCACCTTGTTAATGGTAAGAAACCTGAACTGGACCTGAGGTCCACCAGAACATGGATGAATTAGGCTTTACCAGACCTCCTTAAGGGCCACAGAATAAATTTGGTACCCTAACATATGTCCTTCAAATTTACAATTGTGGAATTAGTGGCAGACGATAGAACCCAAGGGCGAGAAAGCAGTCAGTTTGCTATAGGCCTTCTTTCTCCCTTTTGCTATAGGCCTAATCCTAGAACACTTTTAAATCTTTTCCAGCTATGTAACAATGATGACAATAAAGAAAGTAAAACAAACTCCAAAGCTGGTTTTATTTACGTGTTCAGATATTATACCACCAATTAAGAAATTATCTTCCAGACCCTGAACTCAGTATCAACAAAAAATAACAAAAACTTCTTATAGAGTAACTGACATGCCTGGAGCATCTCCTTATGCTATTTTTGAACCAAAATAGGCTCTAGCACCAGAATAAGACTGAAATATAGTGCTGATACTCCAGGTAGAAGTTTTAAATCAAAGAGAAAACAACAGTCTACCTGAATAATCTAAGCCATCACGATGGACAGATTCTCAAGCAACTTGAATTCTGGAATTCAAGCACATTAAACCATTATTTAATTTTCTTTCCAATTTCCTTTATCAGAAAGCTAATAAAAATATTTATTGAGTACAATAAATGTGCTAACACTGGGCTAGGTGCTACAGAAAATAAAGAATGTATAAAGCACAATCTCTGCCTTTAGGAATGAGAAGATTTACTTAGAGGAAAAAAAGGCCTTCCATGCAAGGGTAACAGCACAAAGAGAGATGAATAAGATTCAAGGTTAAGGAGAATGATTTCTTACAATAAGAAATCATCTTGGGTAGATAAGATAGAGCCAAGCAGAAAACTTACACAAAAATACATATGCAAAGGGAAATCACTAAGTTAAGTAAGACAATTTGATGAAGTTGTGGTTTGGAAAGCTAGTGGGGTATGGGGAGAAAGGAGAAATTATGAGTTTCTATTTGAACTTAATGCATTTGCCATTGTAGTGGGTTGAACTATGTTCTCTACAGAGGTATGTTCAGTCCTAACCCCCAGCTGTGAATGTGACCTTATTTAGAAATAGGATCTTCGCAGATGTGATCAAGATAAAATGAGGTCACACTGCATTAGAGTGGGCCCTAAATCCAGTAACTAGTGTCCTTATGAGAAGAGAGGGCACACAGAGAAGAGGCACAGGGAAGAAGGCCATTAAAGACAGAGGCAGAAATTGGAGTGGTGCAGCTACAAACCAAAGAATGTGGGCAGCCATCAGAAAGTAGAAAGTCATGGAACAGATTCCCACTCAGGGACTCCAGAAGGAACCAACCCTTCCAACATCCTGATTTTAGACTTCTGGCCTCCTGAGCGGTGAGAGAATAAATTTCTGTTGTTTTAAACCACTGGGTTGTGGTAGTCTGTTACAGAAGCCGCAAGAAACTAATGTAGTCATGCTCTATGCAGTAAATGTGTGAAAATGGAAAAAAATTAGATATCATTATTTCCTAATTCATTTATTTAGTTTATCACTTTATGCCTTTTTTAAAAAAAAGAATAGTTTTTAAAGAGAGAAGAAATGAGAGGAGAGAAACAAGGATGTGAGAGCACAATATCGATCAGCTGCCTCCTGCACGCCCCCGACTGGGAGCGAGCCCACAACCGGGGCATGTGCCCTGACTGGGAATCAAACCAACAAACTTTGGAGCACAGGCCAGCGCCCAACAAACAGAGCCACATCCGCCTGGGCTATGCCTTCTCTTGAAGTGGTTTACAGTTCTCAAATTATATAATTTACACTGAAAATCTGGTGTATCGAGAATATTGATCTGCCTCTTTTGCTTCTCCTATCAGCTAACACACATATAACTGAAACACACATTAAATTCACCCAGTTGTGAATTACAAGCTTTGACACTACATGAAAACCAATATAGAGACAATGGGCAGTTGGGCCGAGCTTTCAATGGACAATAATTTCCTATTTGTTTTTTAATCAAGAGAAATAAACTG